AAACAAGGCTAGTGTTGCAAATACTTTATATTTAATTGAGATAATTTCATGATCAAGGTTTTCAACAATTACACTATAAGTTGTAATCTTTCAGTTTCAGTGTTATTTATATAGCATCAGCTCACAAGAACAGTTGTCTCGAGTTGCTTTTGATTGTAAGTTAAACGCTTCACAGTATCAGAGTGTAAAACCCAGCAAGCACTACACACTTGGTGACAGCACTGCTGCAACTGGTTGTAATTTGAAAATTCAGCCAGAACCTGATGTAAGTGCTGCCAAAACAAAACTTGTGATCTTCTCATCAAAGCCTCTGAATCTTTCATCTGTGACTACTTATCAGGACTCTGTGATCCAGTCTGCAATTTCAAATAAAGTTTTGCTTATCTTTGAAGGCCAAAACGCGACTGCTGCCACTTTTGTGTCTGTGACATTATGTACATGTACATACATGCATCCTTGCAATGCTTTAATGCATCAGGTGCAGTATACCATGGGGCATGGAATTAATTAAAAACTAAACCTCTGACTTAGGTTTCACTATTGCCTGCCTCATCAGTCATTAACGTGTTTGTGTTTATAAGACATGGCTCTAGCATATTTACAACTATATGGCCTTCAGAAATTTATGGTAGTGATTTTTTTTATTTTTTTTTACAGTACTCTTACCCACAATCTGTTTCCAGAGCTCCTGCATAGTATGCTGCTTCTTTTCTCTGAAATCAGTCTGGGTCTGACTAAACTGAGTAAAGAAATTCAATATGCAATCAGTAGATACATATATGTGTATATATACAGTGGACTTACGAAATTAATTTGTTCCAGAGGGTCTTTCGTAAGTCAAAATTTTCGTAAGTCGAAGCACCTTTTCCCATCGCCTTTTGAGTGAGGAGATGCTGGCTGAAGACGAAGTTCTTGGTGGAGGCTGAAGGAAGCATATCTATGCTATTTACGTTAATTAATGTACATACGTACACTGTGCAATGATATTTTTTTTAACATTTTTTTTAAACTCGCTCATATTTATGCCTTATGCCGGCCCCATTATGAATGAACGATAGGCTAATTGCAAACGAAAAGCACGCGGAATAGCGCACTGCAACAACAATACGTCTTTCACGTGGAACAGAGAAACGCATTTCGCAAACGGATTTTGTTACATGGGCATTTTGTGGGCAAAAATATTGTCGTTAAGTGCCTTCGTAAATTGAATTTTTCGTTAAATGGGGTCTTCGTAAGCCGGACCCCATAAAACAATAAAGTACTATAAAGGAAAGCGCTGTTTTTGAAACTTTCAAATAGTGGAGATGATTATAAAGACTTGATGATTATCCAGACAAACACAAGTCCATTTTTGTGCCTTCTGTGATCAAAAATGTTTACATTGGTGAGATATTTTTTACTGATTTTGATATTAAGTATATGAGGTCCACACCCCTTTATTAGCCAGAACGTTGACTTCTCTGGGGATCTTATTGATAAAAATGAACATCTACAAAGCAAATTTGTGTGCTTTGCATATAAACTAGTACCTTTTAGTACCTGGATTCACAATTTAACCCCTTGTTTTGTCCTGAATCTGAAGAAAGTAGTTCTGGTTTCAATTTATGTGACTAGAGATTTTATTTTGTTTTAGCAAGTCAAATATTGGTGAAGCAGTAATGTCGACATTTCATCACAGGCAGAGCAGATGGTAACACTGAGCCAGACAGTCGGCTGCTACACAACATGAGCCACAGACCGAACAACAACCCACACTGGCTTTCTTGTTGAAGTATCTAGCTTATCTAACTTTGAATATGAACATGCATCTTCTGCACCTTGCCTTGATTGAGCCAGAGAGCAAACATTCAGGAGAAACAGCTCTTGCCTCCCCAAATAAAATGCAAACAGCATCTAAATAAACCTGAAAATGTTAGTTCAGCATGGTTAGATATTGCTGTCCTCAATCTTCAATTCCACTAAAGGCACACTGTCTGCTTTGCTTATAAGCTAAAGTACACACTTATTTGTTGTGTATCTTATTCATTAAATTTGCAAGAATAACAGCAGTAGTATGGTTCTTCAGCATCTGCTGTGATTCAGGCATTGACAAGAACAGATTTGTCCAGTAATCTACAGTCATTTAGAACAGGCACTTTTCATATTTGTCTCATTTCTTGCAGCAGGACTAACAGCCACAAACAGTGCTTCTTGCTGTGAGCACTGTAACCCCCCAGTAAGAAGGTTCTGATTCATAGTTCCAGGTTCGCTGGAGCCTTTCTCTGTGGAGTATGCATGATATGATCTGTCTGCACTGGTTTCTTCCAGGTACTCCATCTTCATTCCACAATTCATGTGTAACCTGACATGTTAGGTTAGGCCCAATAAATCTAAATTGGATAAGTGGTTAAAAATAAAACAACATCATCTCGGCATTATTTTTGCCTGCTGGAATGTCCATACTAGTTGCCAAATAATTTGATTTTCTAAAGTGAGTCTAAAGTGATTTTAAAAAGTGCTCGAAAATACACAATAACAGCACAAGAAAACAGTTAAGAGGTCCAGGTCAGTGACTTGAATGGGTAGAGATGAGGCCTAGCAGACTGTGACAGTTGGTTGTGTCTGCACTGCTGTAAATCAGGGCAACTTTAAGCCTTTATAAAAAAAATCTAAGAGGATTAATCATAAAAAGGCTGTAAAAACCAGGATGTAAATTTGTCAATTTCTTCTCTGAGGTTGGGTTTTAATTGTAATCTATGGGGCCTCTCGTGGCTTTTCGTGGAAATTTTTTTATTTTGCACTTTTGCGAAGGCTTTGTTTTTCAGCGCTACATTTTGAGTTCTCATTAGTAACTATTTCTGAATTGTTTGACCTGAATGTATTTTACCTAAAACAATTTTTGACAATTTAAATGGGGATTTGGGAGAAACAGGACAGTCAAAGAGAAAAACAAAGGAACCCAGCACACTGTTGCTAAAGGAAAAGGAAAATCATTTCAGATGTATTCAATCCTCCACATCTGTATAAATCACATGTGGAGGACTGCACTTATAACAAGCAGTCACAGCCAGATGTGTCTGATTGAAACAACTGCTGGTGCTCCTATGGACAAAGCAGCAAAGGTAGCTGACACCACGACTGGATGCACAAACAGAATGATCTTAAATGATCTGTTCAATCCTGTGTGTCTCTTGTTCAGGTGTCTTATGCTGTCATCCTTTCCATCAGTCACTCTGACCCTTCTCCTGTAGTCTGGCCCTGCTGAATAGTTGAAAAATACAAGATATTTCCACATTTCATTTCTGAGATTCAGTGTAGTTTTTTTGTTTTTTTTTAATCAGTGCATTTATCCACATACTGTGTCAGATCTTTAGCCTGGCTGATACTGATTGTTTGGGGCCATTAACAAAAACAGGGAGACATGGCAATAACATAATGTCCAAGATTATTTATTGATACATATTCATAAATAAGTTTTAAGATGCAACATGTTCGACTGAAAAGGTAAAACAATGAGATCATTTTTTATTAACTTACCAGCAGTGCACTCCACTATGTCGCGTACCATGAAGACACTGCTTGACTGCACCACAATCTGCTTGGCCTTGACACGTACTCTGTTACATGTGTTGACAGTATTGTAAATAATGGAGTCAGAGCTGCTGCACTGGACAAATTATGTGATAACATCAGTTCTAAATTACACTGGCCCTTATTTTCTGCACAAATTTGTTAAAAAGAAAAAAAGAAAAAAAAGCAATTCGTTTCCTATTGGGTAACACATATATTGGATATATATCTGTCATATCTGCCAATATTGACTAAATTATATATCGGTTAAAATCGAGTGAAATCAGAATCAAGTATTTAAGCATGTAGCATGACATTACCAGTATCCCGGGGATTTGCTAGATAGCTGCCTGCTGGTTTTGACCTATTCACCATTTCACTTAGTCAGCCTGGCTGTTAGTGAAGGAGGGGAGTGTATGTGATGGCAAGTCTTCCCTCTTTGTACAAAGCAAAATCAAGACTGGTAACAAACTGGCTTAGCATGTAGCTGCAGTGAGAAGTCAAGGTGCAATCAGAAATTTGAGGAAGTAAATCAATGGATCACACAGATGGTGTGCATTTTATACCAACAGTGGCAGAGCGGCAAAAAATCCCATACAGTAACAACAAATGCACTAATGCACTCTTGTAGTCTTCAGAAGATAGCTTAAGAGATTTCTTTATTTGATCTTTTCAGATGTGTTCAAAGCAGAGAAGTGAACACTTGTACTTTTAGAAAAGGACAGAGGTTGGTGTAACATAGAAATCTCGCAGAGTGTTGTTCATTTTACAAACAAAATATTGTTATCCTTTACACGTGTGATTATGAGGCACCACACAATAATACTGTATCATCTTAATTATTTACACTTGAACAAAGCATCTGCCCTTCTGGCTACAAATGCTTGAGTGTTCTTACTAAATATGGGTGTGAGCAGCATACACTGAAACAGCAATAAGGTGTTTGGTTTTAACTGTGGCTATAAGGGAGAGAAGTTGAATGACAAAAATAAGAAGCAGAAGAATAGATACACATTTGACCAGAAAGAATCAGGCCATTTGGAAAAGTAGGCTTACACGCAAACATTCAGACATGCACACACATTCACTAACAGGCAGGTGGGATAAGATGCGGTAAACCCCCCAGACTGCACACACACACACACGCGCGCACACACACATACACACACACAAATATGCACAAACAGTGAATGCCTCAGTAGATGCCCATCTGCTTCAGTACTACCTCAGTGTTCCATCAGCTTTCCTCGGCAGTGTGAGGAAGGTGAACATACCTGTCTGTGATACCACTGTACTGCACGTGTCGTCCAATCAAAGTCCACCATAACATGACAAAAGTTTCCACTGCAGCACACAGTTTAGGCATTTTTAAGTTCACACAAAACACTGAGGCAGAAATATGAATTTGTTGTTTTTCAAGATGTCTTTTTTTGTTTGTTTGTTTTCTTTTGTTAGTTTTTTGTGTGAAACACTTTTGCTACTTTAACAGTAAGCAAAGAGCCCCTTCGTCCCATTGGTCCTCCTGTCGAGAGTGTGACATAGGAAGTTAAAGAAAAACAGATTTATAGATAGAGAGAAAAGATACATACTATTATCTAAAGTCACAAACAACAGTTGTGAGGAGATTGTCATGGCTTTCGCATTATATTCAGTGAATGAGGTCACATTGTAAATTGGCTCTGTCTCTGTAAACCCTTTGCCTCCTGGGAAGTTCATGAAGTGCAGCCACTGTGGCAGGCATGCATCAGTACCTGTTAGGAAACCATTTATGTTATTTAGGTGAAGAGAAAAGCAGTATAGGGTGAACCAAAGCCCACATCAGGGAAAAACAGCCTAAAAGTCATCAAATAAGCCTCCTATGTGAATATTATCAGAGAACCTGTAGTTTAAGCCCCTTCTTTGTGCATTTTGTTAGGTCTTTTAATCACGCCTTCATTTCTAATGCAGTCCCTGAAAGTACAGATGTGAAAACACCCGAGGCCAGCACATTATCAAACGGTTCAGAACAGCATAGCTTATTGTCTGCAAAGTAAAAGGTCTTACACACCCAGCCGTGCTGTATCCTTCAAAAAGAGCGTTTCCATGACTTACAAAGGATTTTCTGGAAGGCTCTGCGGAAGTCCTGGTTGAAGATAGTGTAGATTACTGGGTTTAGTGAGCTGTTGCAGTAGCCGATCCAAAAAAAGAACTTGAAAAGTGTTAGAGGGATCTGGCATGGTTCACGGCAGATTCCATACAGACTGTAGGAGAAGAAGAATGGGAACCAGCAGACAACAAATACGCCCATGACCACAGCAAGGACGAAGGTGAAGCGTTTCTCCCGAGCAGCTGAGACTTTCTTCCGATTGACAGTGCTCCGACGTTTGCGACGAGATGAAAACAAGTCTATGGATTTGGAACTGGCACGCGACTTCCTGCTGGAGTATTTAGAGGCGGAGCTGCTCTTTCGGCTAGCCTTCCTGTCTTTTCTGTCTTCATGATGATGTTTTGAGGAGCAAGAACTTTTTTTAAGTTTCTCGTCTGACGAGCTACTATCTTCAAAGTCGTCATCGTTGTCTGTTGGATGTTTTGGCTCGTTTGGTAGGGGTGTTCGAACCGCTTGCTCGTGGCAATGCCCATTCTGGCGTTCCTGATTTTTCATGCTCCCGCCCCTGTTGGACTTTAAAGACCCACCTATGCCCGGTTCAGCTTGGTCCATCCCATTCTCCAGCGGTGAATCCACATCCCTTTTCTTCTCTGACAAAGTTCTGGTCCTGGTTTTTGCCACTTGGTAGATCCGAATATAGACCAGGATCATAATAACACAGGGAGCAAAGAATGATCCTATGCTGGAGTAGAGGATGTACCAGGTCTCATCATTCAGCATACACTGGGGACTGGCCTCGCTGCTGCTTCTGTCCATTGATATCAGTGGAGGGAAGGATATTATGGCTGAGATCAACCAGACCACAACAATCATGCCTTTAACTCGTTTAGGTGTTCTCTTTAAGTTGTACTCTACAGCCTGTGTCACAGACCAGTACCTGTCCAAACTAATAGCGCACAGGTGAACAATAGAAGAGGTGCAGAACAAAACATCCAGAGCTAGATAGATGTCACACCAAATTTTGCCAAAAAACCAGAAACCCATAAGTTCATTTGCCAGTGAAAAGGGCATGACCAGAGTGGCTACCAGTATGTCCGCACTGGCCAAGGAGACGAGAAAGAGGTTCTGGGGTGGTTTTAGAGCTCTGCTCGTTAAAACGGCGATAACAACCAAAACGTTCCCGACTATTGTAAACAAAATCAGGAAGCTGACAAGTCCAGCAAGACACCAGATAGCGAGCAGGGTATACTGGCTCTCAGAGGTTGAATTAGAGGAGATATTTTCTGCCTCTACCCTGTCGTCCAGGCTGGAGATATTAAAGAAATCCATTTTTAAGTCCAGTTTTGATTTTTACAAAAAAATTAATGTGCGGAAATAATCCGAAAAAAGAAATATCCAATTAAGACTTGAGCGCACATTTCACAATAAAAAATATACATGAAATTGCATTTTGCTTCTCTCCGCAATGTTCCACATCCTCCATATAAGTCTCTCTTATGCATATGAAAACAGAGAGAAAAGGGGAGGAGGAGAAAGAGCATGAGATATACAAGTCTTTTAAGTCCTTATTCCAAGAGCGCACGCTGCTCAGCAGCAAAATTTCCATGGTTAGAAAGCGGACTCCTTCCTCACCGTGTCCTCTCCCACCCCGACTGCGCCCGCATCTCTCCACCTCCGCCTCCCCGCTGTGTCCTGAGAGAGGTTTGTAAGAACCACGTGTCTTTTTTTTTTCTTTTTTCTTTTTTTCAGAAAGAACTAGCAGGGACGTGCTCCGCCCCGGAGAAGAGATGGGAGCGATTATTGGAGGAGAGGAAGCAAATAAGCAAGCAAACATTTTTTTTAATTTTTTTTTTTTACAAGTTATACGGGAATAGTCGATAAGATCAGTGTTGGCTACTGCTGGGGGAGCTCTTGCTTAATGTGAGTCCAGTTTCGCTGCATTGTCGGTGTAAAGTGGCTGACAGTAACAAATTGGACAGTCGATCAGACAATCTCTTTTCTTATTTGACTCTTGAAGATCTATTTTAGAGTGCGCTCACGCCGAGCGCCTGTGTGCAGGAGCTGCTCGTTGGAGGTCACATTGCTGTCAAACTGACAGCGGCGAAGTCCCGCACCAAGCAAGGCACGCTCTGCTTTGTCCTTCTGTGCACACACTGGAGGTCAGTATTGTAACAGTCAGCTCCGGAGGGACAAATTGGCCAACACATACGATTCATACGAACATTAGCGATAGTTTTCTTAAACAAACTGAATATAAATGTTATTATTATTATTATTATTATTATTATTAAGCTATGTGGCCCATCATTTAACTTTCGCCCTGGTTTATGAATATAAGAAGAACACGTGTAAACACATAATGGAAATAATGTCCCCTCTTTTTTGCACTCTACTGCCGTTATATTTCATGTGTTTGCATGGTGGTAATCAAAAGGATTACAGGATTACATGACGCAGTTGTGTGTTCTGATGGAAAGTGAGACGCACGCGCCTTTAGGGGATTCCAAAGGCGCAAAATCTTCGGCGTAGAAAGCCCTGTAAATACATAAGCTAGAGAACAAAATAGGGCGTGCATGAAATATGATTAATGAGGAGACATCTTAAAGTCACGAGTTCATCCCCTTACCTTGGATGCATTAGCCTAATGGGCGGAATATGTCTCTAGCATGACATCCAGGTTATCCTGGCTTTATGTTTTTTTATCCATTCTCTCCTTGGGACACGTGCATGCAAACTTTAGCCACAAGGGACACTTACTTCTATTTCTTTTTCTCTCCTTATCTCTGTATCTTTTTCTCTTGCACACATGGTGCAGCAGCACAGTCCAGGTTCTTTAAATTAAATCCAAGTTCACTTTGGTAGGTCAATCCCCAAAAAAGCCTGTGATAAGTTTTTGGACTTCCTTTGTGGACTTCCTCTGCTCCTGTTATCCCTATCCACTCTGGGTGGCTTTGCCTCCTGGAGAAACCCTTTCTTGCCTTTGGCATATAGCTGGGTATTAAGTTCCTTGGCCAGTGCGTTTATTGACCGTGTCTACCGGCTAAGTACCTGCCATTAATCAGTAGAGCACGCAGCCATGCTGAATTAAAGAGCAGCCACAGCCGCAAGAAATGCTTAAGTCCAAATTGATCTGCATCAAGACTATGAGGTGGAATGAGGAGGGCTCAGGAGCTCATGGTCCATCTGCCTGTGTGGAATCACAGTCACTAACCTTCCCCCTGCACCCATCCAAAAAACAGAGTGTTCCTTCTCATGCCGCCTTTTTAAATTCAACCTAGGCTAGAGTGATGCTGTAGGTCAGTGTAGATGCACTCTAAGCTGATTTTGAACAAACAGTCAAGTCTTATTATGGTCATTAAGTTGTGTCCTGGGGCCACAGCTCATCTATATATAACTGGGGCATCGGTGAGGGATCTCAGCTATTACCAAGCCTTTTCTTGTTTTCAATGTTGAGTCTTCCTCAGAGGGAATAAGTTGGCACTTTCTGCAACTAGCCAGGAGACAGCTTTGAGCTGTCAAAGAAACTTAGCTGATTATTTTTATCTCTTTAAACCAAGGATACGTACTTGTGTGCTTCGAATTACTGTGCTTTTTGTTCTGTTTCATTCTTTTTTATTCCAGTATAATCATAAACTACAGCTCTGTTCTTTTTTCTTTTTTTTTTGTAATACAGAGTCGCTCCTGGACGAGAAATCGGCATTTTTATTTAAATGCTACAAGGCAGCATTTGTGGAACTGAAAGCAGAGACAGTACCCAGAGCTTTACAGCAGAGAAAAGTATAATGAGCCTCTCAGACTTTCAAAAATATAATAACACCTGATATGCTCTCACAAGGTTACATGACAAGCCCTTTGTGACCCATTAAAGTGACTGCTCGAGTCACTGGCCTTTATCACACAATCAGAGCCTCATTATAGCCAGAAGACATTATTCCAAAGATGGCCACGTCCTGCTTATGATCTCTGATCATCTCCCTGCAAGTATAAATGTTCAGCAAGCACATCAGTGTTTAAACCAAATGTCCAAATACTAAATACTCTAGTAAGGCACGTGTTTGCAAATCGTAATTCCCCAAAGAAATCAAAGCTGTTACCAGTAACCTCTAATTTCCACCCTCTCTAATGTGAGGTGGTTTCCATATTGGCTCCTCTGTAAACTGAGGTACCAGCTGATGACAGTGACAAATGGCAGTGTAACTCAGGCAGATGACTATAGAGCCTAGAACAAATAGTTCAACAGAGAAACATTCAGCCTACAGGGGAGTTTCTCTTCTGCTAGCATCACCGCACAAAGCAGGGTCTGCTTCTTATCTACCACCTTGCCTTTGACAAATTACCCATTAGGAATTTAGATTGATCTGAAATTGATTTTTTTTTTCACATGGAAGGAGGTTTTTTTGGGGTAGACCTGCATAATAAAAAAAGTAAAGTTGTCAGTGTTTCTAAGCTCACATATCTCCTTCGGAAAAATTGCATATGTGGCCAAATGATCCCAACCGCTCAGTTACTCTCTTCATCATTTGTGGCAGTTTCTGTGGGATTGTCAGAGCTACTGGAGCTCACAGAGATTTTTAGAAAAACACATTTTCATTGTATGAACCATATCTTAAACTGGTGTCTTTTTCAAATTTTGCTTCCCCTAAAGATTGTCAGCAAATCCAAGATGAAGTAGTTGTCACTGTGAAGCCTGTGGCTGGATGTTAAGCAGGATGCATTTTAAAAAGAGCAGGTAAGAGATTTGTTAGCTTCTCTCTTGTAACTCTGGGGAATTAAGAAAAAAGAAAGAAATTCAGGGATGTGTTTTGACTCTGTGCAAACTGCCCTCTGTGTGAGCTGTCAAATGAGTAGATTTGCACAATAATATGCACAGTCTAGTTAACAGCTAAGTCTTTTGATTATGAAATTTAAAATCTCTGAATGCTTTATTATTCCCCAGTTTCAGAAAAATCTTATTATATTTCCATCTCTGAAACAAATATTTCTCTTTTCATTCACATTTTTGTGCTTAATCAGTTGTTGTCCATATAGAACTCCTCTGTTACAGCTTGAATGAAGCAGCATAAGGAGTATTGGGTGTGAAGAGACATTGTGCAAAGAACTTAATGAATAGTTTGGCGTGCAGCCTTAAAAATGTGGCTGACATTCAGCTCAAAAATAATCATGTAGTCAGTAAATAAAAACTAATGAAACCTGTGTAGACTATGAGTGTATAAAGTATTTGGCATTTTAAAATTCAGTTTAAGCTGAAGGATATGTAGACATTTAGCAGCACAGATTGGATGTTATAAGAGGACAGATGTGTTGCACTTTTATCGGTGCTACGGCATTATCTGGCATTGAGGATTTTATAGAGTAAGGACCGTCTGAAGAGAAGTAAAATATCAGGCAAAAGCATGTATTGTGAAAATAACTGTAAGCCCCTTTCAAACACTGCAGGTTGTCAGCGTAAGGGACTCTTGTTCAAAAACCCACAGCTTTGAATTGAAAAGGACAAAATGTCGGGGGTGTTTGTCTTTGTGTGTTCCTGCCGAGTAGAAAGTGCATTACTCCATCGCTCTTTTGGGAAAAGGTTTGTGTGCTGTCACTAAGGCAAATGGCTTTCTTCCTATTACACAATGCAAAATCAGCAGTAAAGATATTAACTCTGTATTTAGCATCAAGAGATGTATCTTTTTTCCTTTTCTGTTAAGCTTTTGGGTTCATAGGCATTACAAAGAGTCAGCTGAGAGATTGAAAAGCCATACGTTATACGGATATTGTGACACTGTAAAACAATTTCTATTTTTTCTCTCATGTTTGGATTTCATTGTCAGATCGTGCTAATATTAAAGTTGACCTTCAGCTATATATAAGTTACTAGGCAGAAAAGAAAGACTTCATCATTTCATACTCATACAAGACTCAAGGTCTTTTTTCGTGTCGCTTTTGTCATCTTTTATTAACGGCCTGTGTCTTTTCCAAAGAAGTCTCCAAAACTCCAGTTATAATTACCAGATATGACTACAACACAAATCAAATAGCTTTTCCAAAACTGATTCTCCACAATGGACACTATAATAGTATTTCAACCTCATAAAGCATTTGGATATTTGCTGTGGCACAATAGACTGTTGCACTGCAGATAAGATTAGTCAACTGTCCCGAGAAAGGTTGACTGTCCAATTGTAAGATGAGTGGCTGTGCAGTGTCTGGCCTAGCAAAGTCATTACTGTCCATCTGAGGGACAGTTGGGCCAAACTTGCTGATCCGCAGGCAAGTCGAGAATTATGCACAGCCTGAATGTGTTAGAAACGTGACACCCAGACATAGACGAGCACCAGTTGACTAGGAGTTGCATCATGATCTGTACACCAGATTGACTTGATGTTGGTGAAAAATGACCATCTGTGAAGTGTCAC